TAAAAAAGAAGGTATATTGATATGACCTCAATAGTATTGGATTTAATTAAGGCTTTATAAGTGAGAGTTAGCTTATTTTTTTTTTATATTCCTTGTCATACTTATTTTTATTAAAACAAATTGTACCCAATTGTTTATTAGAAAAAAGTTTATATTATGAAAGTTTATAACTCCATTTTAAAGAATGGCATGCACTTACGATAATTCTTATAATACCACATCTTTCTGATATAAGAATTCCATCACTATCAAAATTGATTTGCGTTTAATATTTCCTAGTTGATAAAATACATAATACTTCCTTGTTAACAATGCTTATCATAACATATATATACATATATATACATATACATATATATACATATATATATATATATATAAGTGAATGAAAATGAAAGTGAATTTTTGAATATTGAAGTAGTGATCCATCAAGGCAATTGGTTCTGTGTAAATGGGGTGGATGAAGTAAAAGAAGGTCACAATCCATCTGCAGATCACGTGTTTTATCACTCATATTCCTTGTGAGAAAAGAAGGGCTCCAGTCAATCTTTTAATATAAGGGGGGGCCTCTCTTTGTATTCAGTTCAGGGAGTGGGGTGACTTTCGCTGATTGATACCAAAATGGAAGGTTCGGGAGAGCATCATTTGGAGGAAAGGGAGCTAAAAATTGAATAAGCATTTGGATACAAGGAGTAAACGGAAAAAAGAAATTGTCTTGCCTTAAAAATAGCACTTTTCACCTTCGAGTGGATTAACTTTGTTTCTTTTCTTTAGGTTTGTGTCCAAAATACTATCATTTCCTTCCCGATTTTTTTAAAGTACAATATGTTTTGCCTTTCTTTTGTAAGCCATAGTTCGTCCTTTATTTAAAAACTTAGACTTTTATTGATTTAAAATGTCACAAAATAAATGTATTAGACATTTCATCTGATTTGACTTAAGTGTTTTAGAGTACATATTTAAACCAAAATTTTGAATTGAAATAATTATTTAGAGTGAAAATTTATTTATATTAATTGCTAATACATTTTTCCTGTTAATATATCATTCCATTAATGAAAGATTTAATAAATTTTTAAAAATGGTTCTTTTAAAAATATTGACTCCTAAGTCTTAAATGGTTAAAAAAAAAATTTAATATTTTTAAAAATATTCATTAATTCAAGCAGTGCTTTTTCATTTGAGCCGCTATTCTTTAAAGTGGAATAAATCCACTTGTAACTGAAAATTCGTTATTTATTTATTTATATACAATTTTGATAAGCAATATTGAATTTTGATGTTTCATCAAACAAAATTTTTGCCAATATTTTTAAATTCATTCAAACGCTAACACTTAACACTAGAAAGACGGAAAATTATTATATACCTATATTGCCTAAAAACAGTCAAAATGACAAGATTGTGAATGCGTAAATAAATTTGTTCAAAATGAATTTTTAACATTTTTTATATTATTTACAGTTATTAGTAAATATTAACAATAAAAAAAAATTATATGTTGCACAAAAAGTCACAAAATTCTAAGAAATTGTGTCATTATAGACATCATTGTTTTCCTAATTGAAATTAAAAGCAGTCAAAATGACTTCCCTAGGCAATCTAGTGTTAAAAGCCTGAAAAATTGAAAATGTAAAGCATGAACTTATTTCACTTTCAAACATAACGTCTTATTTGTCAATATAAATTTTGAAGATTTATTAAAATATCTGCAGAACATGACGAAGATATTCAAATTTAGCAGCTATTTTAATACTTCGAATCCGCACGCTTAAACTTTACGATCAATTTTAAAAGTTAAAATAGAGTTTATTTAACCGATCGAAATCACTTTATCGCAAAGCTTTTGCTATTTCAATAATTAATTCTTCTTAAATATTAATATTTTCAAAGCGTGATTAAAATACACAGCAACCTAAAATTAATTTTTCCTGTAACACCTATTTCATTCCATATCGTCTGCCTTCAAATCCTTTCCGAACTCATTATGTTTAAATAAATTCGAAACAAAGCAAATGTTCCACCTTCAATAAGAGCTTTCACACTAATACGCGAACGAAAACACTTCTAATTCTTCTTTTGTTTATCAAGTATCTTTCATAAAGTTACCCAATTCGTTAAACTAAAGACAAAAAAGCGATAGTGAAAGCCAAAGGAAAATGAGAATCAGAATATTCTCTTATAATTCTTATTCATTTGCAGCAATTCATTCAAGCTATAATACATTGTTGCAGAACAACAATGGCCTTTTAGCTGCAGATACGAAGGTGTCGCCGTTGTTTGGGGTAACAGCATTTGTCAATTAGTCACATTTGAGAGCACACTCCGTTATTATAATAATGCCAGTTTCACTCCACTTGACAGACGCATTTATTTAGGAACGATAACTCATAACGAAATAGAGTTTTCAATTCTCGAACTTTGCTCAAAGAATAAGTTATCAATAGAAACTAGTTACGTGATTTGTAATTTGATTTTTTTAATCGGAAATTGTACAATGAAATAGTGCACCAGGGAAAAAAATATTAAGTAATAATGAAAAGAAAAAGATTACAAATTATGGAATAAAGTTTTTGTTTTTTCTAACTTTATAACTTTTACAGAAAAAGTAAGTTATCATAGTATGTAATTCTAAAAAACTTTTGCCAGACATAAACTTTGCTTTTAGTTTCTGCATATTAGTTTTTCTTAATCCTTAAATTTCACTATAAAATCACGCATCTGAAAAAAAACCGATAAAATGAACAATAATTTGTAATGAAATAGAGTTTCAATTTCTAAAACCTTGTATGATGAATAAGTTATCATGTTAATTCCTAAACTATTACGTGATTTGTTATCAATTGTTTTTTTTTTCTTCTTCCTTTTTTTTTTCTTTCTTAAACTTTAGAATCAACTCAAGATGAATCTTAATTTAAATAGATCTGAAATAATTCTGTGATTTTCGTGAAACAATAAAAATACTTTATAAATAGTTTTCTTAACTTATTTTATGATTGTTAAAAACGTACATTAAAACAGTTTGTATAATGTGTTCAATGTGATACTGTGCCTTTGAACACATTTTATTTACACATTTATACATTTATTTTTAGTGGACATTTTAACAAATGTGCAATATTTTCTCTTCCCCTGCTTGTTAACTAAACGTGCTACCATAAATTATTTTGAGTGAAATATCAAAACAAATTAAGGCATCTTTTTCAAATATTTTGTTTTTCAATAAAAATGCTTTAAAATCTGCAGACACAGTAAATTTTTAAGTTTAAAATGAAAATAATACAAACCATATTATCTAGAGTTTACTCTGTGTAATTAGCAATAGGAACATTCAGAATGGATTAGTCACTGAAACAATCCTATGAAATACACCAGGGAAATTGAGCTTTTTTTACCCAAACATTAAATGTGTTCACCCATTTTCTGATAAGAGATCCTTTTAAATATTCCTTTCTCGTGCTTTTTTTCCCGTTAACCTGTGTGAACATGATGGAATTGTATAATATCTTTCACACGTTGCGATTAAAACCATTAGAAAATTTTTTATGATATGTTTGGTTTTGAGTAAAAATCATTTTTGATAGATTTTATTTGAAAAAAACTAAAAATATCACCATTAATAAAAAAAATTTTAGCACCTGAAATAATGCCAAAAAGTTTCTCTTATTTTCTACGTAATTTAATTTTTTTTATGAAAAAAAAANAAAAAAAAAAAAAAAAAATTTTTTTTTTTTTTTTTTTTTTTTTTTTTTTTTTTTTTTTTTTTTTTTTTTTTTTTTTTAAAGCTTTAGAATCAACTGAAGGGGAATCTCAATTTAAATAGATCTAAAATAATTCTGTGATTTTTGTGAAACAATAAAAATATTTTATAAATAGTTTTCTTAACTTATTTTATGATTGTTAAAAACGTACATTAAAACAGTTTGTATAATGTGTTCAATGTGATACTGTGCCTTTGAACACATTTTATGCTCTTATGATTATGTTAAAATGTATATTTAAGGTAATATCATTGAATGAAAATTTTAAGAAAGTGAACAATGTTAATTTTTAGTGGACATTTTAACAAATGTGCAATATTTTCTCTTCCCCTGCTTGTTAACTAAACGTGCTACCATAAATTATTTTGAGTGAAATATCAAAACAAATTAAGGCATCTTTTTCAAACATTTTGCTTTTCAATAAAAATGCTTTAAAATCTGCAGACACAGTAAATTCTTAAGTTTGAAATGAAAATAATACAAACCATATTATCTAGAGTTTACTCTGTGTAATTAGCAATAAAAACATTCAGAATAGATTAGTCACTGAAACAATCCTATAAAATACACCAGGGAAATTGAGCTTTTTTTACCCAAACATTAAATGTGTTCACCCATTTTCTGATAAGAGATCCTTTTAAATATTCCTTTCTCGTCCTTTTTTTCCCGTTAACCTGTGTGAACATGATGGAATTGTATAATATCTTTCACACGTTGCGATTAAAACCATTAGAAAATTTTTTATGATATGTTTGGTTTTGAGTAAAAATCATTTTTGATAGATTTTATTTGAAAAAAACTAAAAATATCACCATTAATAAAAAAAATTTTAGCACCTGAAATAATGCCAAAAAGTTTCTCTTATTTTCTACGTAATTTAATTTTTTTTATGAAAAAAAAACATTAAAAAAAACTTACATTTCATTAAAAAAAACCTGCAAAAATATTTTAATGATGACTATATCTCTAACAAGTGGTCTTAGAATAATCATTTTAGGTTTTTTGACAACATATAATGGTTTTCATCTTTGGAAAATAAAAATATGCTGCAACCCTTAATAAATGCTTTTTCAGAAGTATTTCTTTAGTTATTATTAAATATTTTCTCACTAGAAATCCTCTAAAAAAATAAAGGCTACTGCCAACCTTTGGCTACTTTTTACTAAATCAGTCACATATTCAGTAACCAATTTTATTCGCAATAATTCAAATATTCTTAATAGCTATTATTTTTTGCAGGATCATGCAACGAAGATGAAGAGGCAGGTCTAGGAGATGAGCATGTGTGTGGTAAATGTCGATTAGAATTCATCGATTTGTCTGATTTCCTTCATCATAAGAGAGTTTGTACGAAAAAGCGTTTAGTTCTTGTTGGAGAAGATGATAGCAGCGATGAAATGGGAGCTGAGGATGAAATGGAAATTTCATCGATGGAGTTTAAAGAAGAAACTGAAAAGTATGAGAAAGCTATACACACTATTCCTTATTTTATGGCTTTCCCACGAGTAAAGAATTGCTTCGAAGAAACTCCTGTTATGCCACCATCAACGATTGAAAGTAAAAAAGATTTTTCTGAAGGTGAAGAGCAATCCATTGATCTTGAACATTACCCCAAAACAGACATTTATGAAAATAATTCTGATGATAGCAATCAACCCGATTTAAAGAAATGCGCTACTGAGGCAAATTCATTTTCGAACCCACCACCTCTACCTCAATACCTTCTGATGCATTCTGTTCCAGATACAAATGTTACATTGCAAGCACTCCAGAACACGCGAGTCGCTGTTGCCCAACAAGGTGCGGGTACAGCAAATTTATCACACCTTGCTCTGCATACGGCCCTGTACACCCTGCAGCAGCAACAAATTATTCAACTTCACCAAGTTATACAACAACTACAAAATCAATTGGTTAATTCTTCAACTGTCACGAATCCCTTAATTACTACTACACCTACTATTGGCTCCCTTACGGGCTCTGCGGCACTCACACCTCCTCAGAGCACAGATGGTAACAATGGAGGAATTTTAACTTTAACAACAACTACGCCATCCACACGAGCTATTGAATCTGTCACTCAGGCTGAAAATCATACTGTCGCAGTTTCTACTACGCCCTCTTTAACAACTTGTCGAAATTCAACAAGTGGAAGCACAACTCCAATAGTGTCCGAGCCACCACCTCCACCTCCTCATGAACCTAATACTTTAGAGCTCTTGCAAAGGCATACAGAACAAGCTCTTCAAAATACTATGGCTGGAAGTTCATTCTTACTCAATGGGTTAAGTGGAATTGGAAGTAGTTCTGACATTTTACGCTTCTGTAAAAAAGGAGATATTAAAAAAGAAGGAGGTGAGGATGCTTACTTTCGACACAGGTGTCGCTTTTGTGGTAAGGTATTTGGAAGTGATAGTGCTCTTCAAATTCATATAAGATCGCACACAGGTGAAAGACCATTCAAGTGTAACGTTTGTGGCAATCGTTTTTCAACAAAAGGTAATTTAAAAGTTCATTTTGGACGGCACAAAGAAAAATACCCTCACATAAAAATGAATCCACATCCCGTTCCGTTACATCTGGATAATCTCCACCCCCCTCTAGAACCACCAGAAGCCTCAGAAACTCCACCTATAATAACGCAAACATCAACCTGCCAAACAGTTGCTTTAAGTTTACAGCCACCTAATCTAGTTCCAGCTCAACCACTCCCTTTGGTTACTCATTCTCACGAAAAGACTTTATTAAAAGAAAAGGAATCATCTCCAAGTGATACAATTCGACATTCTGAAAGCAGTTTTCAAATAGACAGGAGAAGTGTTTCTCCAAATGGAACTTCAAATCTCTCAGACGATTCCGATGGCTCAGTAGGAGATTATTGCACTGATGAAAATATAATGAAAGATGGAGATCAAAATCACTATGATGATGATATGGATAATGATGATGATGATAGCTTTTCAGATTCTCCGAAAACTGAGCAAAAGGAATTGGATGATAATATGGATGATGAAGCGAAAACGCCTACGACAGAAAGTAATGGGCCACTTTGTTTGACATCTTCCATTCCTTCTTATACTAGTAACGCCGTGCCACCAACATTCCCATACTTTTTTCATCCTTCACGATCACCCCCATCGAGTATTTCAAATCCTAACTATCCGCCAATGTCTACTCCTCCATTAACTAGCACACCATCAAACAGAATTTCATCTGTGAGTCACACAAATAATGATGGAAACGAACAAGTCGGGCCGTCTCACGATCCAAATCTTTACCAAGATCTTTTACCTAAGCCTGGTTCAAATGACAACTCGTGGGAAAGCTTGATGGAAATCACGAAAACATCAGAAACGTCAAAGCTTCAACAACTTGTTGACAATATAGAACACAAATTGAGTGATCCTAATCAATGTGTGTTTTGCCATAGAGTATTAAGTTGCAAAAGTGCTTTGCAAATGCATTATCGCACTCATACTGGTGAACGACCTTTCAAATGCAAAATTTGCAGTCGTGCCTTTACGACCAAAGGAAATCTGAAGACCCATATGAGTGTTCATCGTGCGAAATCTCCCCTTCGAGTGTTGCATCAGTGCCCGGTTTGCCACAAGCAGTTTACAAACTCTCTTGTCCTCCAACAACATATTCGAATGCATACTGGTGAGCCTACTGATATGCATCCAGAACAAATAATGGCCAATGAAGTAAGACATGGACATCTCCTTACTACCTCATTTCCTAGACCTATGATTCCAACTTTACTACCAACCTTTCCAACGCCAACATCTCTCGCTCCTAGAGCTTCATCAGCAGGCCCACCAAATATATGCACGACACCAAAGTCAACGGAAGCCACATCCTTATCTCCCTCCCCTGTTCACTCTTCTTCTATACACTCTGAAAGTGTTATTAAAACAACTGTCAAACAAGCTGATAATCTAACGACTGAGAATTCATCTTCTCCAACAACCATAGGAAATTCATCTCGGCCTTCATCAGCTCGAGATGAAAGATCTGAAACCCCTCAACCACCTGTGCTAATTTCTCATTCATCTCCAAAAGAGTCCTCAACTCCTCAAATGTCTCCTCCTAGCATGGATAAACCAATTGTTACAACAGCACCTTACTCTCCCGCATACACAGCCTCTCTAGTAGCTTTGGAAAATCATGTTAAAGCTATTAACACTACGATCCCGCAGCCTTTGCCGTTTTCATCCTTTGGAATGGGGCTTGCAATGGGTAGTTTTCTCCGATACGAAGATGCGGGATATTTAAATAGGAGCAGCCATATGAATGATAGCAATTGCGAGAAATCTCTAATTAATCATCGATCATATTCTCCATCACCAAACACAAGTCGAGCCGGATCCGATGCTTCAGGTGACGAAAGATCAACTCCGGGCTCCATTATCAAATCAGAATCACCGGTATCTATGAACAATAATCATGCGAGAATTGCTACAGGCGTGATTACGCCAAAATCAGAAAGTGGGGCTTTAGATTTGACGCCGAAAAATTCGCTTATGTCGATTCCACAATCAGTTGCCGATATCCAGCTATTTCCATCTCCTTTGGCAGGTCTTCCTTTTCCAACTACACCTGGGAGGTTGTCTACAACGTGTCGCATTTGTTTTAAAACATTTGCTTGCAATAGTGCTTTGGAAATTCATTATCGTAGTCACACCAAAGAGCGTCCTTTTAAGTGTAATGTTTGTGATCGTGGTTTCACCACCAAAGGAAATATGAAACAGCATTTACTAACACATAAGAGTAGAGACCTTCAACCTCTACTCTTTGCCTCTGCTGACAACTCTGTGCAAGAAAGCGAAACGAACTCTTCGACGAACGCAACAAGCCCACGAACCTCGAGCCCCATGAATGCATACGAAGCGAATTTAAGCCAATCTAGTAATCCTCCAGAGGAAAAGAAAGATATACCACTGATTACAACTACATCAAATCCATCAATGGTAACTCCTTCACCGGTAACTGCAATTATTTCTACCGTTAGTCAAATTGCACCATCTATTGTTTCAACTCCTCTTCAGAAAACAATAAAAACTGAAAGCGAGTTTAATGTTAAGAGACAAATTTCTGAGAATAATTCATCAAGTCCATCTAAAAGAAATTCTGGTTTTCCTAAGCATTTTTGTCATATATGTCATAAACCCTTTTCTAGTGCGAGTGCGTTGCAAATTCATAATCGAACTCATTCTGGCGAAAAACCCTTTAAATGTGTAGTATGTGGAAGAGCGTTTACAACCAAAGGTAATTTAAAAGTTCATATGAATACACATATGGCTCAGAATAATGGGAATTCACGACGAGGGAGACGTATGTCTTTAGAATTTCAGCCACCACCACTTCCTGCACATGGTAAACCTGATTTCCCACCGCATGCAAGACCAGAATTATATTTTCCGTACTTTCCACCAGGATACATAAATGGTATGTCTGTTCCACCAAAAATGAATGAAATATCGGTAATACAAACGGCTGCTGGCGTAACAAACGGGAATATAAGCACATCGACAGCTATGTCCTTGACTCCTGCCGTCTCAATGATGACACCGGTAATGACTTTGGGTCAACAACCTTTCATAAGAAAGCAAGTGCAACAAAATTCTGATGGAGATAATGGTGATTACGCGGATCCAAGATCTCCAGATGAGGCTGAAAACTTGAAAATTCAGCCTTCACCGAGTCCTCCTTTAGAAAGTGCTTCACCTGTGCGTCCTGTCCCAACGTCTCCTTCAAGAGCTTCCAACAACGCATCTTGCTGGAGTTGGAAAACAGCATGTAACATATGCAGTAAGATCTGCTCTTCTTCATCAGACCTAGAAATTCATTTAAAATCTCACTGTAACCCTGCAATACAAGATACTGTTAGGTCTGCATCTCAATCAGCCAAAAATCTTGCATCTTAAAAGTGCTGAAACTTATACATTAATGTATTTTGACAATACCCATCGTCAAGTACGCAATTGTTTATCCTTTAATAAGTGAAAGGATGCTGGATACATGTGCTTTCATGTGGAATAAAAACTCTTTTCGTATTCAGCAGGGAGTTACAAATTTGGAGAACGCTGATATGACGTAGAACGTTATTAAAATCGCGTGCTTCTGTTAATCCCTTGAAGTTTGACGTATTCCCCTTCTTTTATCCTTCCTCTCTTGGTCATCTAGAAATATGATCAGGAAAATTGGTTCCTATGATAACTAGTCCAAAGGCTAACACCCTGCTCCACATATTTAAATACAAATGTGGAAAGACATTACCTATAATAAAGCTGTTTAGGTGGTAGCCATTGTGCAGGGTAATCTGCTCTTTCTGTTGTACTTAGTATTATTGCACATTAAAGGGTACACCCGAAACTATTTATGTACAAGTAGTATACATTATATGAAGTGCAACGCGATTTTCACTCAGCTACATGACTGCTAGTTGAAATATTCTGCTTATTGTATTTTAATTTCTCCCTCGTGTGATTGTTATGTTTGCGTGAACACAAAGGAAGACAAACATTTTATTATGAATTGTTTTTATCTCACTGATTGTTCTTAAGTTATTGTGTATATTTTGTGTTGTTAATGCTGTTTGATGCAACACACAGTTTATGTGAAATTTTCCCTACTTTCTCACAATAAGAACTAAAGCTCTTTACCATAAAATTATTAAGAAAAAGTCATTCTAAATTTTATTTCAGTATCGAGTTCTCGGTACAGAAAGAAATTTATGAATTTGCGTGGAAAATTTCACTAAGGGAGAGGCCAATTTTTTTTAATGTTAAAACATGCAAATTAAAAACTCCTTTTCTCAAAAGCTATTGGAGATAATGTACAATGCAAAAAATTCAGGAAACTTTTAAAGCAATTATGTTTATATAAAAAACATTATTGACAGTACCGCTCAACTTTTACAGCAAATTACATCAAAAAAGTAACTCTATAAAAAGCAGTGGTAATTTTTTTCCTTTAACGTAGTGTTTCAACCGATTTTCTACGATCTTTTAACTGCTTTTGAAACTACTATTTCAATGCTAAAATGGGCTAGATTTCAGGAGAAAAAGCTTACTTCTGAAACTGGTTTCATATATATTTCATTATTTTTGTCATAAAAGTATCGGTATTCTAATTGTCAAAACATTCACTCTCAAACTTTCAGGACATTTTTTAATATTGTATAAAATTTCAATATTGTTTTCATTGATACTACTTTTATTAATCTTGTTTTTTATTTGATTTTCTTTATCTATGAATCATTAATTAAGGTAATTTTCTTTACAAGCTGTGAGAAATATGAATTTTAACATCAGTCTTTCATTAAATAAAAGAAAAACGTGTAAAGAAATGTTTGTTACAATACGTACATATCTTCAGGCTTTAAGTTACTCAGACACTTTATCATAAACTATACTCTGTTGCAAGTTAAGAAAAAACTATTATCCCTGTTTGCATTTAAGTGCAAGCCAAATGGATGCCAAAAGAACGAATATCAACATCACCGACTCTTGAAATGACGCTGAACAGCCTTCTTTTTTTTTTCTTTCTTAAATCGTGAGCAATGAGGAAAACAAAATTTATTAAATAATGAACTAATAAGTAATAAGAATTAATAAAAATGATACCAAAAAATCGTAACAAATATTCGCTTTTCTGTTCGTATTTAAAGAAACTAATGAAAGAATAATAAATATTGTTTTTTTTGCAGACGATTTTCTTCTACAGTGAAGCAATAGTAAAAATCCTTTATCTCGCATTTGATTTGTTAATTGCATATTAGCATAAAGAGCGCCATTTTTAATGGTCCAATCAAATCCAATGCTCTTGCAACATCATATAGTTGCTTATTTTTCAAGAACGAATATTCTCCTTATTTATCGAAATAAGTCGCCAAGTATAGGATTCCAGTAAGACTATAAAACTATAATCTTTTTTTAATAATTCTATTATATATATCGTTAATGATAGCACAAATTAAATTTCTATCTGACATGCTTAACTTTTAAAAAGCTTTTATGTTGTTTTGAAAGCATATTCGTATGTTTTGATAACAAAATAAAACGGAACTATATGCAATCGCGGCTGCTTACTTAAATCTTATACTACAATGACCTTTTCTTAACTTGCAACAAAGTATAATGGCTATTATTAAAAAAACATAGTATGTACTGTAAACACTAAAATCATGTATCTTTAGTAGTTTCTGAGAAAGCAGATTATGAAATTTCCTGTTTGAACATTGGCAAAGTAGCTCCTACTATTTGATCTTAACACCAAAGTTAATATTTAGCTATTTTGAAGAAATTAGTCTCATAAAATCATTTTGTATACTATTAGCATTTAATAAAAAATTTAAGACAAACAATAGTTTTATATTCAACAAAATAATTGTTTTCAATGTTTATTGTGTAAAATGAAATACAATTTCAAGTTTGTGGAAAAGAACTAAAGCCTGCAATAGTTATCGTGGTAATCAACTAAAGAAGTGAATGTAATTAGTGTAAAAAGATTGTATCTTACAGTTATGAAAATGTTAGAGTAAGTGAACTGTGTTTTATAAATATATCACTTATAAAGTTGTTTAAAAAATGTGCAAAAATCAAAGTGGATTGGTTTTAACTTTATTTCTCAACATAAAACAATTTGTTAACTTGATTGTTTTAAATTTTTCATTTAACATTATTTTCTCGAAACTTTTTTTTTTTTTTACAATTTTTTTAGTTCTTAGATGATGAAGATTGAATAAGAATAGTTTAAATTTTACTAAGTTTGTGCAAGGGAGAAAGCACAAACATATTCCTTGTTCCACAAAGAGACCATAAACAAAATTCTTAACATCATTTTAAAAAAGTTCGTTTATATCTTGCGTTATTTGCCACCGAAGGAAAAATAGAACACAGCCTTCTTCTAAACAGTGCTATAATTCAGTTGAAATATTTGTTATAAAATTATGATATAATGTATTCATATATGATGACTTATGATATAATTTATTCTTATTTATGATATGATTAATTATTTTTTATGTGGAGATTATGATTTATGAATAAATCAAATTTTTGTTTATAATGTGTTCTAAAAATTAAAATACATTTTAAAATTATTAAGGAACTTTGAAGAAAATGATAATTTTCACTTAATAAACAGAGAAATGAGACAAATGGCATGTTCGAATAATATTAATTTCTGATACATTGATTTTATATTTTTGCGAAAACATAATAACAGTTTTAATTCAAATAACACACGAGAAACAAAATCCTACATAACTATAAAAGCTAGTTATTCTTTATTTAGATGTGAAGGAAAAAATTTTATACATAAATAAATAATACAATGTCTTTGAAGTGTACGATAAAACAAGTCGTTCTCCCCCTTTCAAATAGCAGCTCTTTTCTTTTTTTTTTTCTTTAGTAAATTTGCTTGCAGTCAAGCTAATATGTTACATAACAAGATTTTAAAATGAATCATGAATGCTATAAATATATTTCTTCCAAAATTTTTTGTGCAAAGGAAATTATTACTTTACATTCCATTAAAATTAAATATCTTATTTTCTTCAAAAAAAGTTTCTGAAAAAGATTACAAGAGTGATACAAAAAAATTAAAAAGTTTATTTTACTGACAAGTCATTGATTGTTAAACAAAACAAGTGAACAAGTACTTTATAATGCAAGTTCTGTATTTCTTAGGTAGAAATAAAAGTGTTTAATGTCAAAATTTGTGAGGTACATATGTTTATAGCGGAATATAAATATTGAAAGGAAAATCTTTACGCGCAAGTAGGCATAAAAATTTCTAGAAAAAAATTTCTTTATTTGTTTTTTTTTTTAACGTTTACTCAGTTGTTGATGATTTTATGGTTTTGAGCCTAAAATTTTGAACCACTTAAAAGATTCTAGTTGGCGAATCTATTTAAATATGAAAAATAAATGGTTCGAACCCCAATAAGTCTTTCATTACTTTTAAATGTAAGGATGAATTTCCAATTTTTTTTCTGAAATGTGTCAATCATTTTATTTTTAAACTGTACCTTTTGATGTTATCAATTTTTACAAAGGTGGTATTTTATAGTTGAATAAATATTTTTATACACTATAATATCTCCGTGGTGTTGGACAAAACCAGGTGTTTGTATTCCAACGTCCAACACTGCGTGGGGTATTAACTTATTATATTTATTTCTAAGATTCTTTGTTGCTAATGAATAAATTTGTGATGATAATTTTTATTTTCCTCTTTTTTTTGAATAAAATGTTAAAGTACTGATCTCCATGTTTATTGATTTTGTAAAATGAGACATGAAGAGTGAAATGTGATTTTAAAGTGTTATTGAATCGAAAATCTTCGTAAATGTTTCTTTTGTGATTAAGGCTTAAGCAGTTGAGGAATTTTGCACAGATCGGGTTAATTTGTTTTAGTTCATAAAAACATCGATTTTTACCTCTAGAATCAATGTTTTTAAACATATTTTAAATATGAACACCAAATTAATTAAAAATGTAATTAAAATTTAATTGTTCAAGAATTTGAGTTAAATAATTCGATGGGCAACAAAAAAGGTAAGCACGAACACATATTATAATAACGTTTAATTCTTCAACTGCTTTCGTTTAGGACTGTACTTTGTAATAAAAATGGACTTACTAATAATATTCAAAAGTAATCACAACGACTGCAAATAATTACGAATAAATTAACTTCGAAATATTTAAAATAAATATATATAATAAAATAACGAGATTTTGAATTTAGTGTTTTCTAACTTAGATTTATGCAATTAAAATTCAAACTTAGTTGAATGCAAAAATGTAATTTTCGGACTATTCTAAAAAAATTCAGAAATAATTCCGAAATTGGAAGTTATCATTAATAAAATTGGCAAAAATAAAATGAAATGCTTGCTCTAACAATTAAGCCCGTTCTATAAACTGAAACACCACATTTTGTCCAAAAATGTGTATTTTGAAGCAATGTAAACTTAAAAAAAGCATCTCAATTCACTTATTGAGTGTTTTACTTACCAAAACGAATGTCTAATTAATTTATTCGAGAAATAATCACTCTATGTTGCTAGCACCTTTAAGTAATTAAGTATAATTTAATTTAGTAATACTTTTCCTACAACTGTTTTAACTGTAGACAATAATAAAAATTTCTACTAGCATATTTAGGCAAACAGTTTATTGCATTGAAATTGAAGAGAATTTAACTAGTAATTTTATTTGCATATGTAGATAAGAACAAGTTATTCTGTTGAGGGAATTAAATGAATTTTACTGTCATTTTTAGACGAAAACAATTTTCTTTATTGAAATCAGTAGGGGTCAAGGAGTAAAGCAATAATAATTATTATTTAATCAGAAAAATCTACTGATTTTATTTTCCCTATTCTCGGTTTATTTAACATACTAAAAACTTCTTCAGTTACACATATGTTGTTATTAGTAAGTCCATTGAAAATATCTTATGAGGCGTTTGTTTTATTTTTTTCTTTTTATTATAAAATTTGATGTGTTCTCATAATATATAGCTGCGTTAAATGTCATTTTCATAATTTAATCTTCATACTAGCATACTCTGTGTTATTGATTCTTCATCGCATGTACAGGGTGTTCTCTACACGCTGCATATATTTTTAGAATCCTTCAAAAATAAATTTTTAAAACTCTTCATAATAAGGGTATAGATTAATTTTTAAAAAAAAGCAGATTTAAAAAAAGCAAACTTGCAACCTTCTGTAATATTGTTTAAAGTTTTAAGCTTACAATTGGTCTTCCAAATTACTTAATTATTTGAACTGATAGCATGACAATTTTTTTAAACACATCATTTAATTTTACCGTCATATTCATTGACATTGAGCACACTCACCCAATTATAATACATTTTTTTATCCCATTAAGCTGTTTATTTAAATGCTAAAAGATTCTAAGATTATTGGATTCAGGGTGGTGATTAGAGAATACTCTGTAGCTATCGCAAACTTAAGCAAATATAATACTCACCAAATAATATTAAAATGGGAAAAATATGAAGTTTTCAACTAAAAAAGTTCATTTAAAGTATAAGTTCTATATAGATATATATTTATATAAATTGAGTATGAGTTCGTGTGTATGGATCATAGGGAGAACTAAAAATGGGGGGAACAGATGCAATGGTGATACGACAACTGTGATATGTTCTTCCTCATGCGTTGATTGTAGCACAAATGATTCATTCTACACGTTTTTTCGGTGTCTGAACCGAAATATAATATAACATTAATCATTCCACAGATTCCAGGGAAATCTGGAAATGTCCCTCTTGTGCAAGCAGCTCTCTTTTTCTCTCACCCTTTTGTTCCACTTTTGTACATAGAACACAAACAAATAAAGAACCATACTCAAGAATCAAGTGTTTTAGAACAGGTATTTAGTGTGACAAAAAATTAGATGATAACATCGTGCTCCCTCATTCATTGTTTCTGTTTGTTTTCTCATTTTAATATTTTTGTTTTCAATTCGGTGATAATGTTAATTGTTTTTTGATTAACTGTCCCCTCGATCCCTCCGCGAGTACCCAGGAGATTGCTATTTTTGTAACAATTGTAGTTTCGCTTGAGGGATCGATTGGGGACAATTGTAGACCTTCTCTGGAAGGATCAAACATTTGGTGCATGTCACTATTAAAACTCCTCGATAAAATTATGTCTTTGTGTCTTTTCTAACTCTTAGATGAACAGTGCAAATTTGGTGCAAGGGCCGTTTGAATATTACTTAAGCGTATGTCTAGCAATTTTGGATTCTATCTTGTAAGAAAAACACAAACCCCCTCTCATTCTAACGTAAAAAATTCGCAACCTCTTTTTTTCGTTTTAACTTTTACTGTAGTATTTAATTTCAAAAATTTCAGAATTAAATTTAAGTAAAATATGCAATTTAGCATAAAACAAAATTTATATTTTAGTTCATTTAACAAAATAAAGAAACTGTTTGACAAATTGAGTTTAATTGTTACTTAACATTTTTCCAAGTAAATTTTTTCCCAAATTTTTAGTTAAACTAGTTTTAATTTATTAATTAATTTTTAGTTTTGTTTTAGTTGAATTTAAAAACGTAAAGAAATTTGAAAATAAATTTCAGAATTTTACGTAAGCATTGCTCATACCTCCCCTCCATCCACATAAAAAAAATGAGTAAATTACGAACCCTTTCTTCCCTTTAAGCGCTTACGTAATGTTCAATCGGTCCTCAACCTGTGTTAAATTGAACTACGCTTCTGTTGAAAATGAGCTCAATATCGTGTAATCAAGTTTAAGGGCAGAAAAAAGGATTTAAGCAAAAATAAAATATTCCATGTTTGCGGAATTTAATTATTTATTAAGTAACTAATTAATATTTTATTCACTGAAATGTGTATTATTGAGCTTAGTTACCAGATAAATCTACAATCACTAGGTTCAATAGTTCTGAATTCTTTTTATTCCTTGAAATGAGCAATGCTTCATTTTAATGAATAAAATGAAGCAAAAAATATTCAAGAGTAGAATTTAAAAAAATTGCATAAAGAGAAAAATCATGCAGACATCCCTTTTTTGTCGTGTTTAAGTTCTTTCACCAAGGAATATATAAAAAAAAGTTGCAATTTAAGTACCTTATACTAGAAGTAAGACTACATATACCATCAAACTGTAAAGAAGACCTCTAGAAAGAACAAGTAGCTTAAAGTATTATACATTTATAAAAATCACCAACTTGATGATATTTTCCAATTAAAAATTTTAAATTTATGAGCATTATTGTAGTAATATTAAGAAATTAGATTCTAAACACTTTTCCCAAAGCTCATATTGACATTATGAGTCCCGCAGTGGACTGATCGTTGAGACACGGTTCCCAGCAGATCACCGAAGTCAAGCATCACTGGCTGCGGTCAGTGTGCGGGTGGGTGACCACTTGGATCAGTCTGCGTAGGGACCGAGGGTGTGCGGTATTGGTCCTCGTTAAACTGTGCTACCGTAAAGTGCTCGACTTCGCG